AGTCTTTTATTTTTAGAGCGCAAAAAATAAAAAACGCACAGGCGATCAAATACCACCAAAAGAAAGCTCAATTTGTGGGGAAAAAAGAACTAAATTTAATTTATGTACAGCGTTGCATGACTGCGCAATTGTCAGTTAAAGTGACACAGCGCTGTAACACAAAAAATGGCCTGGTCAGGAGGGGGGTAAATCCTAAGGAGGACAAGTGGTTAAGCCCCGTGGGATGGTTTTTTGTGTAGTGGGAATGCTCCAAACCACGCCCAGGACTGGTTAAGTGTACCGCGCCAGAGAGCACTTGGAAGAGGTGATCCCAGGTGTGCTCACTTGTGATCTGGTACAGGATTTTCAGTGCAAGTATAAACTGTATCCAAAGAACAGAGGTATACCGCTCAGGCAAACAATCCAGATCAATCCACGACAGGTGCAGGCTCTGGCTCGCCACCACACACGATGCAACAGGAAGAAGGGTCAGCCAAACACCGGAGGATTGATGAATATAGTGTATATTTATTGATGCATAGGACACACAAAACACCAGGACATGAATACAGGACCTGTTAACGCGTTTCACACAATCTCATGCTGAATGTTTTGTGTGTCCTATGGATCAATAAATATACACTATATTCATCAATCCTCCGGTGTGCGGCTGACCCTTCTTCCTGTTGAGTGTAAACTGTGCCAAGACACAGCTCTCTCCATAGAGGACTGTGTAGTGAAACAGGGATTGCTGGTCTGGTTAGCAGGGGAGTGTGAGCAGGAAAACTTCCTTATAGCGTCAATCCTGACCAGCAGTGGGAGTCTAGAGGGTGGTGAATCAAACTTGGGTGTGAGTGTGAGTGCACCCTGAAAAGCCAAGTGACTTTGCCCAGGCTGAAGAGAAGACTGAAGAAGACTGCAAGCAGGAGGAAGCATTACCTCAGTCTCTTCTCTCCATGATTGCTCTTGGTAACATTATAACTTTGTAGCAAGTCACAGTATGAGAAGCTACAGCAGGAGGCTGACTTGTGTGCAGTAACATGAGTCAACACAGTAATAAACTGCACAGGCACCTGTGTTTCCATAACTGTTTCATCCCTGACCCAATAGGTCAGTCTAGGACAGTGGTTCTCAACCTGTGGGTCGCGACCCCTTTGGGGGTCGAACGACCCTTTCACAGGGGTCCCCTAAGACCATCAGAAAACACATATTTCCGATGTGTAAAGAGCAGCTACTGTGTAGAAAGCAGCTGCTGTGTTGAAAGCAGCTACTCTGTTAAAAGCAGCTACTGTGTTGAAAGCAGCCGTATTGGAGGTAAAACGACACTCATGAATTATAATTACTGGGTAAATAATTTTATGTTTGGGGGTCACCACAACATGAGGAACTGTATTAAAGGGTCACGGCATTAGGAAGGTTGAGAACCACTGGTCTAGGAGGTAAGACCTACCTTCATTCCAATGGTCCAACGCCGGCAAAGTCCTTTGCCGGCATCTTCTCTTCGGCTTCTTCCAGGTGCTGGTCTTTCGTGCTGCCTCGATTGGCCAGCATGGGATGACATCACTCCCACCTATGCTCAGCAGTGCAGTCATCCTGCCACACGAGCAGTGTGCTGGAATGGAAAGCTAAATGTGCATTCTAAGGCTCCATGCACACTGGGCGTTTTGATAATGCTGGTAACGTTAGCTGTGTAAAGTCACATTAAAAACATGAAGTTTTCAGCTTTTTTTTAGCTTTTTTACATTAGCGTTTAGCAGCGTTTTGCTGCGATTAGCAGCGTTTTCCCGCGTTTGCAGTTTTTTGACCAAAAAAAAAAATTTTTTTTTGGTCAAAAAAAAAAAAAAAATGGAGGGGTGCGGTGTTTTTTGCCTCATTTTTCAGCATTAGAGCATTTTTACAGCTAAAAAAACTCCTCTAGAAACCCACTAGTCCTGGGGTTTTTTCCAGCCAAAAAACGTCCCAGCCAAAAAAATGCTGATTACAGTCCATGTGTGCATGGACACATAGGATAACATGCTGGGGAGTTTACTAGCTGTAGAAAAAAATGTCAAAAGCCAAAAACAGCCGCTGTAAAGACGTCCAGTGTGAATGAGGACTAAAGAAGAATGTGAACAGGCAGGTAAGTGTATTTTATTGTGTCTCTTGTATGTCTCTTCTGCAATAAAGACCCTGCCAGTTCGCAATGTTCAGCGGAAACTGGACGAATTTCGATCATTTATGGCCATTCTCGTTCATGAGAAGTCGATCTATCGATGGATATAGAGAGAGACCTCCTGCGCTTGAAATGAATGTACCCTATCCTAAGCTGCTCACACCCTCCTTCAACCACAAATTAAAATTAATAAATGTCACAAAACAATGGTGTAGCGTTAAATATGAACTAAAAAACAATACCACACATAAACATATACATATAACCATTAAAATAAATGAAAAATAAAAAATACATATATAGGTGATCTTGTCATAAACAACACAAGTGACCATCCACATAAAATGTCCCCAGTCAGTCAGATGAGTCTCACAGTATTTTATGTGGATGGTCACTTGTGTTGTTTATGACAAGATCACCTATATATGTATTTTTTATTTTCATTTTCATGGTTATATGTGGTATTGTTTTTTAGCTCATATTTAGCGCTACACCATTGTTTTGTGAGATCTATCGATGGACTTCTTACGAGTGGGGCTAGGAGAAATTTTAGTTCAATCAGTGCTGCAGCTTGCTGATCTGTGTATTCTGACGGCGATGAGAAGGGGGAGTCTAGCTGCTGTCATAATACAGTGACAGCAGGGAGGATTCCCACATCCATACATATACAGTATGTGAATGGTGGCTGGCTGAACATAAAAAACTAAACTGTATGGGCAGATTTATTCTGTCATTTTGCCATACTCTGCAAGCAACACATATTAGGATCAATAATTAGACATGCAAGAACCTTGCCATAAATTCCCCTTTTTGGTCTATACAGCACTGCATGTCCACTGTAAACGCCACCTCTAAGGCAAGCCATAAATGATTTATTTTCTTTCCTGCAACCGCTAAATGAACTTTATTAAAATATAAGACAAAACACTGACATCGCACGAGTATGAAAATATCCAAAGTATGAATACCGGGATCCCACTCTTTGTAATGGTATAGGCCAGCTGGTATATTTGAAAGTGTGGATGGGAGAATCAGTTCCTTTTATTTTGATCATAAAGACTATTGGCTTGTAGTCCAGGTGAGAGTTGGAAAACGGGATACTAAATGCAAATGGTTAATTTGTATTTATTATTCTATGTACATTTTATAGTTTTCTTTTTCATATGTAAGAGGTCAGAATATGGGGCAGGGAACCTTGGGAGATCATTTTATTATTATTATTATACAGGATTTATATAGCGCCAACATTTTACACAGAGCTTTACAATATAAGGGAGACAGTACAATTACAACACATTTCAGTACAGAAGGAATGATAACCATCAAATCTATTGTTCATATGTTTTTACATACAGTATGTTTTGTAAACACCAGCTCCCAATACTTTTTTAGGGTTCATGCACAACAGTGGGTGCACGTTGTGCATTGTATAGCGCATACCTGCTGATGAGCATTGGGTAGGAGCAATGTGATAAGTTATTACAATGCATCACATTGGGGGGGATTTACTAAAACTAGAGCACACAAAACCTGGTGCAACTGTGCTTACTAACCAACCAGCTTCTAACTTCAGCTTGTTCAATTAAGCTTTGACAATGAAACCTGGAAAATGATTGGTTACTATGCATAGCTGCACCAGATTCTGTGTGCTCTAGTTTTAGTAAGTCTCCCCCTATTGTGTCTTTTTTTATGTTAGTGAAATGTCACAAAATTACATTTCATCCAACATTAAAGGGTAACTCCACTTTTGTGGGAAACAAATATAGCAAATAAAAAAAATATAGTGTTTGCATCTGTGACACAAGTCATATTGTAATTGAATATTTTAAAAAATATACCTTTCCTTTTCAATCTGCAGATCTGCAATTTTCTGTAAAATGCAATTCAATATGGCTAACTGGAGATGTTCGATACATAAATTGTGTACAGAACGCCACCAGCATCATCATTTTCTGCTTCTGTGATTGGCTCAATGATTTTCCAAGTTTTGCACTAAGATACAAGTCAAATTTCAGGCATCCCCTTCAACAAAAATGTCATTTTTGGTGAGATACCCCCCCCCCCCCCAGTACGTCTAAAGGGATGAAGACTGTGCAGTTTTCCTCATTAGAGCCCTGAAGATGCCAAAGCTGAATGATAATGACAAAACCCGCTCCCATTAGATTTAGTGTCCACATGCACACAGACAAACAAACAGCTCTTTCTTCAGAATAACAAAAGGTAGTACTCTGCAACAAAGTTTGTTAAAATCCTCGTACATAGATCACCCAGAGGGGATGTTTTTTTTCTCAAAAAAATTGGAGTTACTCTTTAACCACTTGCCTACCAGGCACTTATACCCCCTTATTTACCAGGCCAATTTTCAGCTTTCAGCGCTGCCGCACTTTGATTGACAATTGTGCGGGTCATGCAACATTGTACCCATTTGAAATTTTGATCATTTTTTCCTCACAAATAGAGCTTTCTTTTGGTGGTATTTAATCGCTGCTGGGCGCTTTACTTTTTGCGCTATAAATAAAAAATTGCAAAAAATTTGAAAAAAAAAATAAAAAATTTCTTTGTTTCTATTATAAAATTTTTCAAACAGGTATTTTTTCTCCTTCACTGATGTGCGTTGATGAGGCAGCACTGATGGGCACTGATAGGCAGCACTAAAGGGCACTGATAGGCAGTACTAATGAGGTGGCACGGATAGGCGACACTGATAGACAGCACTAATGAGGTGTCATGGATAGGCGGCACTAATATGCAGCACTGATAGGCGGCACTGATAGGTGACACTGATGATGGGTACTGATAGACGGCACTGACTGGCATCACTGCTGGGCACTGACTGGCGGCACTGACTGGCACAACCCCTGGGCACTGACTGGTGGCACTGACTGGCAGCACTGCTGGGCTGCACTGGTGGGTGGCACTGGTGGGGCAGCACTGGTGGGTGGGCACAGGTGGGTGGCACTGGTGGGCACAGGTGGGTGGGCACAGGTGGGTGGCACTGCTGGGCACAGGTAGGTGGCACTTCTGGGCACAGGTAGGTGGCACTGCAGAGTGGCACAGGTGGGTGCACTGCTGGGCACAGGTGGGTGATCTGCTTGGCACAGGTGGGCGGAGCTAGTGGGCGCACTGCAGGGCACAGGAGGGCGGAACTTGCGGGTGGCACTGCTGGGCACCGATCATCAGGGCACTGATCATCAGTGCCCTGATGATCGGTGCCGATCCCCGCTCTGACAACTGCCGGTTCTCGGCAGTACTTTCCTCACGATCTGACAGCGTGAGGAAAGTGCAGCCGAGAACCGGCACTTGCATTTCCCTGTGATCAGCGTGTCATTGGACACCGCTGATCATGTGGTAAAAGGCCGCTGTGATTGGCCTTTTACCACATCACGTGATCAGCTGTGTCCGTAGGACACAGCAATCACGGAGATCGCCGGGTGTACGCCCCCTGGGGCGCGCAGGAGAGCGCGTTCTGGGGGGACGTCATATGACGTCCACTCAGAACTGGCCGGCCGCAGTGCAGCTGTCATTCGGCTATCTGAGGTCGGCAGCTAGTTAAGCTTAGTACACACAATGAGAATATCAGACGAACGATCGTCCTTTTTTTTTTTTTTTTATTCGATTTTTAAAAAATTAATAGCTTACTAAAATTACGACAATTCTCGTAAGACAGAATACAACTTCAGAAGTGATGTAAAGTATTGTATTGTAATGTATTCTTTAATTTCCAAACATGTGCAGTCTTGGTCACTCAATCTTTTACGGACGAATAATGTGCTGATTAAATGAAAACTGTTCCGTCTGTATTATGCGAGAAATAATGTTGTGCTTGTCGCTTTTAAATAGTTCTCTTTCTAAGAACTTGTGATACTTATGGCCTCGCTAAAACATAAATAAAATTATTTTCTTGTTCAATTCTTTTTATTGGTAGATGAAGAAAAGAAACAAACAACTGTGGAGCCCATGCAGGGCCTAAAGCATCTGCATGATACAGTTGTGGCCAAAATTATTCAACCCCCAATGCTGTAAAGGGGTTTAGGGACTATAGTGTACATTTGGAATTGTATTCAGAATCAAATCCTACAAGGACGTTGTAACTACCCAAATGCAACTAAAATGACATCAATTGTTTATGTAATACAGTAGTAAATGGTTCTTATGTGGTTTCTTCATTGCCACAATTATTCAACCCCTTAAAGACTACCACTCTGAAGAACAGAGGTTCATACAGGTGCTTTCCATCAGGTATTGAAAACACCTGTGGATGTCACCGAGCAGCAATCAGCATAATAAGCACCAATTAGGCAGCTTTAAAATGACTGTGATACTCAGCTCCTTCTAGACATTTACTGGTGTGGTTTACAAACATGGTGAAGGCAAGAGAATAGTCCAGGAAGACAAGAGAAGAGGTGATTTCTCTTCACAGGAAGGGCAATGGCTATAAGAAGATTGCAAAGATGTTAAACATACCAAGAGACACCTTAGGAAGCATCATTCGCAAATTCAAGGCAAAGGGCACTGTTGAAACGCTACCTGGTCGTGGCAGAAAGAAGATGCTGACTTCGACTGCTGTGCGCTACCTGAAGCGTAGAGTGGAGAGAAGTCCCCGTGTGACTGCTGAGGAACTGAGAAAAAAGATTTGTCAGATGTGGGTACAGAAGTTTCAGCCCAGACAATAAGACGCACACTGCGTAATGAAGGCCTCGTGCCAGAACTCCCAGGCGTACCCCCTTGCTGTCTCCAAAGAATAAGAAGAGTCGACTGCAGTATGCCAAAAGCCATGTGGACAAACCACAAAAGTTGTGGGATAGTGTTCTGTGGACTGATGATTAAGTGGTTGGGTCTGTGAAAACAAAATTTAGAAACTGTTTGGGCCCATGGATCAACGCTATGTTTGGAGGAGGAAGAACAAGGCCTATGATGAAAAGAGACACTTGCCTACTGTGAAGCATGGTGGAGGGTCAATCATGCTTTGGGGCTGTTTTGCTTCTGCAGGTACAGGGAAGCTTCAGCGTGTGCAAGGTACCATGAATTCTCTTCAGTACCAGGAGATATTGGATGGAAACGTGATGCAGTCCGTCACACACACTGAGGCTTGGGAGACGTTGGACCTTTCAACAGGACAATGATCCCAAGCATACCTCCAAGTCCACTAGAGCATGGTTGCAGAGGAAAGGCTGGAACATTTTGGAGTGGCCATCGCAGTCACCAGACTTAAATCCGATTGAGAACCTCTGGTGGGACTTAAAGAAAGCAGTTGCAGTGCGCAAGCCTAAGAATGTGACTGAACTGGAGGCCTTTGCCCATGAAGAATGGGCGAAGATACCCGTAAGATCGCTGCAAGACAACTTGTGTCAAGTGATGTAAACGTATTGTAAAATGTATTTTCAATTTAAAAGGATGCAGTCTTGGATCACTAAGTACTAAGATTGAATGTCACTTGGGGGTTGAATAAAACTGATAATGCTGTGAGCACAGAAAAGACATTTGTGGTTATTTCATTATAACTGTTATGTTATATTTGTCTGACCTACAAGTGCCTCTTTAATGTAAATGTAAGCAAGATGACTGAATGATTCAAAAGCAATGTCAAACTGGCCAAAACACTCAATTTCATGTGGGGGTTGAAAATTTTGGCCACAACTGTATATATTACAGAGTAAGGATAATAACACAGATAGCAGACCAGTTCAAACTCCCAAGGGGCAGACCATTCAAGATTTGTGTCAAAATTAAGGCCCCATTCACACGGGTGGTTAGATTTCAGCTTTTAGCTGTGGTTAGACCAGGGGCGGACTGACAACTCATGGGGCTCCTGGGCAATAGGGGATCACGGGGCCCCTGTGTCCTTGCTCAAACTTAAAAAAGCCTATGAAAAAGGTACCAGGGGCATCTCATGGGGCCCCCTTACTGACCCCGGGCCCTCGGGCAGTGCCTGAGTTTCCAAATGGTCAGTCTGCCCCTGGGTTAGACTAACTTATTTACCGCAGCTAAATGCAGACAATGCATCCCTATGGCTCCATTCACACACTGTGTTTAGCAACGTTTTCATAACATACGGTTTTATGCGTTTAGAAAAAATAAAGCTGACAGCATTCAGGAGCGATGTACCGCAGTTATTTGTAAATAAATGTAGTTAATCGCAGTACAAAGAAAAAATAAGTAAACAGTTGCTGTAGAAAAGGCAAGAATTTACTACCGCAGCTAAACGCAGCCGCATGTAAACGCAGATAAACGCAATGTACAAACGCAAGTGATCTCTGTGCCAGGAGTGTTGGAATTTCAAAATTAAAAAACATGCATTTACAAGCGGCAGAACAACAGCCCCTGCAAAAGAAGCCTAATGATCCTTGGATAAGACAGGTTGACTCAAGGAGCTGACAACTCTCTCAGATAAGAAAAGATAAGGTCAAGGAAGATAAATTGGAAGGAAGTAAAAAGAGGGTAGGGGAGAGAATACTCTCAGACTCAGGTATGCTCCATGACAAGGTATAAAGAAGGTAATACATAATTAGACCATATTTCCCATATCTTTAAAATGTTGGGTTGTGAAACTTTAAGGTCGCTGGATATTTTTTCCCTTAATTACCATCAAGTTCTTGTTAGGAGACAGAAGGCTTCCTCTAGTCCTTGTCTATCATCTGTTTGGTGGCTAAAAAGATATGAAAAATCAACAGATATTTTTTGTATTTGCTTGCTAATGTATTTTTTTTATTATTGAGTTTAGGTATTCACTTCTCCAGTAGCATATAACTCACTCCCCCTCTGCTATGTACAGCCACCAGTAGTAAAGAGATATACCTATGTAGCCCTGTTTTGGGGGGGGGTTATGTGAAATGGCCCACACCAAACAGGCTATGGCGCTAACCTGTATATGAGTAGGCAATCCTGAGCCTTCACTATATGGAAGAGGGGGTTGTGATAATACAAATGGCAGTGCCTCCACCTAGAATAGGGATCCTGCAATTGAGGAGACTCACCCCTTTCTAGGAATGTAACAGGTAGACAAAATCTCTCAGGGAGAGCATCACCTTCAGGGTGATAAGGGGTAGTCCGGCTTTTATGGATGTTGAGCAGTTGAAGTAATTCCTTAACTAGTCTGCTCTCAAAGTCTCTTCCCTGATCCGAATGCAATCTGTGGGGTAAGCCATAGTGGATGAAATACTTCTCCCAAAGCACTCTGGCGACTGTCACTGCCTTTTGATCCTTGGTAGGAAAAGCTTGTGCATACCGGGTGTAGTGATCAGTCACTACCAACACGTTCCCAATTCCTCTTGAATCATTGTCAATGCATAGAAAATCGATACAGACCAAATCCATGGGGCCTGAACTCTGTAAATGTCCCATTGGGGCAGCTCAAACTGGGAGGGTTTTTTCGTCTCAGACAACGGAGGCAACTTCTACAAAGGCTAGTCACAGTTTCTCTCATTCTGAGCCAATAAAAGCGGTCCTTTGTGCTTTTGTACAGGGAATGACACACTTTGCACCATTCCCTCATAATCGTCATGACATTGTCTAGCTGAATGGCCCGTCTGACCACACCTGAAGCACTTTCTAGAGTCTCTCCCTCTGTGTAATGCAACGGGCTTGTTAATGGAAGACTTGGACCAAGTGAATTCAGGTTGATCATTTTGAACAGGACGAGAAGGGAGGTCCTCTTTAAAAGGTTGTTTCACTTTCTTAGGGGTGCTAAACTGAATGTCAGCTTCCAATTTCTTCACTAACTTCATTAGTCCATGAAGAGGAAGATCATCATCAGATAGCTTCACTTTGAGGAGCTGTGCGAGAGGATGATGAGGTAACAACCCCCGTACTAATTGACTAGTTCTCATTGAATTCACTGCATCAGGATGTATAGCAGTGTGATACACCAGACGTGACAACAGTAACTGCAATCGATTAATGAAAGTGGAAACACTCTCTCCTTCTTTCTGACGGGTCATACGATAGTCAGCAACCATCTGTTCAAGGTGACAGTATGGTTCAAAATGGTCAGACAGTACTTGTATATAGTCTGTTGCACTTACCCCCTCATGGGTATCTCGATATAAGCGGATTAGTTCTGCTGCTGGAGATCGCAGACTTTCCATAACACGCTGACGCTTGCCTTCCTCTGAGCAGGACCATTCTTTCAAGCATTGAAGGGTGTGCTCTTTCCAAACTTCGAAAGC